AAGGCTAAGCCTACAAATTCCAAACAATTTGACAGTGAAGATAATGACACCTTCTTTACCTGATTTTATTTTATTGATCTGGATAATTTTATTTTTACGTTTGATTTTATGTCCGTTATGTTTTCCTTTGCCTTTTATTGTAGCATATATCTGCATGCCTTTACCTTAGTTAAGCGTCCTTAAGGTCAAATTGAACAAACCAAAAACTATTACTGACTGCGTCAGTAGCATATATCTTTTTTTGTTGGTTTTTGTGAAATTCCGTACTTTCGTCCAATCAGAGTAAAGATAGGTGACATCATGCATCCCGTTACCATAGTTAAGCGCCCTTACGGACAAATTGAACAAACTAAAACTATTACTGACTGCATTAGAATAAAAGGGGTTAAAATATCTAAATATGTGTATACGCCAATTTAGGAGCTATATGCAAATTTTGAGTACACTTAACCAACAATATTTTTCACGCATTGAAAAATTACTATTCGAAAAAAGGTTGTGACGGATTAAAATTCAGTTCAGGTGGTAATAAAAGAAAATCTCTAGTGCCTCAATCGAAATGTCAGTATCGCACCCGGTATAACTCCTTTGTACGAAGGGCATTTGTGCCACAATGCAACTTTTTACGATTTGCTAGAGAAACACGTCGCAGTTTGTACCCTAGAGCAATGCATTGCTGCTGATTCGCGTACCTTTGAGCAACGCGTAACAGTTAGTTCACGTACACTAGAGCAACGCGTTATAGTTAGTTCACGTATCATAGAATAACTTTCTCACTCAATTTTTTCATAAATGATATATTAGCAAAAGTTATTACAAACTTTAAAGCAATGAAACTATGGTGGTTAATGACAACGTGAACCTGTTATAAATTTCAGCCATGAGACTTTAACATGGCAACATATTGGTGAAATTTTGTATTCGAAATTTCAATACTACAGGCCTTGTTTCAGTATTACGTATAAACCATAATGTTGTCTGAGAGTCGAAAGTAGAAAACAATGGTGCTTTTAAAAAAAGATGAAAGTTACTCATGTTTCAATGCAATATTGAACAAAATGGCTCCTAAGTCAAACAATTGACGTTCAAAACTAAAATCCTTGTGTTGTCAGTAAAAATGAATCGTGTCTTTAAAAAAGTTATACAATCTCTTAGGAAAATGCCTGCATCAAGTCAAGAATATGACAGTTGTTTTTCACTCGTTCAGATGGTTGATAACGTTTGATTTTGTCAGTTTTTATGAACCTCACTTTTTTTATTTACCTTGGAGTTCGGTAGTTCCACCGAGGACGGGTAGTATCTTGTAATTTGTTAGCTAATTTATTGGGCATTTCAATAAACTGTTTATGAATTTTTAAAATACTTTCTGTTGTTTGTTTGAAATTTTTACCGCCCAACTGATACGATTTTTTATGTCGGTTTTGAACAAAATACAATAGTAACTTCGATAGGTATAAAAAAAAATCCAACTGAGCTTCATTTGCCTCAATTCATTCTGGTTTTGAAAATCTACTGAAAACCAGTTCTTTCCAAATAACAGAGAACTTTACAACGTTTCTCCATCTTTTTTATATGGCCATTTGCTTTTTTATATAACACTTACATGTGTATGGTATGTTCACTCAGCTCTTCTCTAAATTAGCAACATCTCCAATGATGAAAGGATTTTATACCCTACAAATAATGCAAGGCCTAATAGGGATATTTATAGTGTATTCTAATGCGTGTAATCTTATCAAATAATATTATGTCGATGATCAAACAAAAAATCAATGATTTAAACAAATTGATAAATATGGGGATTAACTGTGCACCACTTATTGCGGACCTGTTTCTGTATTGTTATGAGTTACAATTTATGACTAAAATCAACAAAGACCCATCGAAACAACATCTGATTCAAAAATTTAATAACACTTTTAGATATTTAGATGATATATTGGCTCTCAATAATGACGACTTCAGTATGTACACTAAAGAAATTTATCCTGCCGAACTGACTTTAAATAAAGCTAATACTAACAATGAACACTGCCCTTTCCTGGATCTTGGTATCTTTATCTTTAACGGGAAACTTAATACCAAAATTTATGATAAAAGGCATGATTTTTCATTTCCTATTGTTAATTATCCGTTTTTAGATGGTGACGTTCCCTTGTCGCCATCTTATGGTGTTTATGTATCTCAACTTGTTCGATTCGCTCGTGTATGTAACAACGTATTTGATTTCAACGAAAGAAATCTCTGTATTACTGAAAAATTATTACACCAGGGTTTTCGATATCACAAACTAGTCAAAACATTTACTAAATTTTATCATCGGTACAAAGACATCATTCGTAAATATAAATCAACATGCAGACATCTTATACGTTCAGGTATTTCACATCCAATATTTTATGGTAATATTCTTTACGAAGCACAAAAATGTCGGCATTCACCTCAAAAGCTAACCAAACCTTTAAACAGAGTTATTCGGAAAGGATATAGTTACGATACTGTTGTCAAGTCATTAAGGATTGCATATTTTGGTATTAATATTGATTCACTCATAGGGTCTTTGCATCGGAAATAAACACATTTATTCTAAAACCAGTTGTTGGCATGATACGGGTTATGTTCTTCTCATATATTTTATGATGGTATGATACTAAACCCCTAACGGGAGGGATTGTACTTGATTTTCATATGATGAAGACATAATCTTTCAATCAGTTTAATTGAGCTTTGGAGATGGCATGTCAGTAACTGCTAGCAGTCCTTTGTTCATTTATGTATCATTGTCATTTTTACTTAGTTTCTTTTGTTACCTATTTTGACATCGGACTCGGACTTCTTTTAAACTGAGTTTTACTGTGCGTATTGCTATGTGTTTCTTTTTTTCTACATTAACTAGAGGTGTAGGAGGAGCGTTGAGATCTCACAAAACATGTTTAACCCCGCCGCAATTTTGCGCCTATCCCAAGTCAGGAGCCTCTAACCTTTGTTAGTCTTGTATGTTTTTTAATTTTAATAAAATTGAGAATGGAAATGGGGAATGTGTCAAAGAGACAACAACCCGACCACAGAACAGACAACAGCAGAAGGCCACCAACAGGTCTTCAATGCAGCGAGAAATTCCCGCACCCGGAGGCGTCCTTCAGCTGGCCCCTAAACAAATATATATACTAGTTCAGTGATAATGAACGCCATACTAAACTCCAAATTGTACACAAGAAACTAAAATTAAAAATAATACAAGACTAACAAAGGCTAGAGGCTCCTGACTTGGGACAGGCGCAAAAATGCGGCGGGGTTAAACATGTTTATGAGATCTCAACCCTCCCCCTATACCTCTAGCCAATGTAGAAAAGTAAACGCATAACAATACGCACATTAAAATTCAGTTCAAGAGAAGTCCGAGTCTGATGTCAGAAGATGTTACCAAAGAAAATAAACAAAATGACAATAATACATAAATAACAACAGACTACTAGCAGTTAAATGACAAGTTCATTTAAATGTTTTGGAGTTTAGTTTGACGTCCATTTTGACTGAACTAGCACACATTTTTATTTAGGGGCCAGCTGAGGACCACCTCCGGGTGCGGGGGATTTTCTCGCTGCATTGAAGACCCATTGGAGGACTTTGGCTGTTGTCTGCTCTTTGGTCGGGTTGTTGTCTCTTTGACATATTCCCTATTTCCACTCTCAATTTTAATAATTCAAAGCTCTTATCATACTTTCCCCGGGACTTCTTATTCTTGTTCAAAAGATAGTACTCTAAGTCTGGATGTTCTAGTATTTTCATAGCATTTTCATTCGGGTGTTTAAAAGTTGTAGAACCAGAATCAAGTACTTAGAGGTTGCGAAACAAGATAGTTTTTTTTTACATGACTCTGAAAATGGATGATATACTTGACTTTTTCCCTATTCGACAGATTCTTGAAAGTGAAAAATAAAGCTTCTCATTCATCCAACGATAATATACACTATATATAATAGATGTACGGATCTGACTAAAATTTGATAGGAAATGACACTCAAGTATTTATCAGTATATCGATATACTGTTTAAGTGTTATTTTATTTGGAGCATTGTTTTTTATTTGTAATTATAACTCACGTTGAATATATATCATTTCTTCAACATGTTTGCGAGACTCTTAATAATATGCTTCGGAATAGTTACTACATTGTTTTTTCGCCAAGATTTATTCGATCCAGATGTCGCCCTTAAAGTGACACTGAATAGTTCGTATGACTATATAATAGGTAGGAGTTTTTCGTTATATATATATATATATACAGAATAATATATCATTCTTAATCCAAAAAAGCGTTTCGGACGCACGAAAGAAAGAAATTGTTATTTTTATTTTAGAAATAAATTTATGAAGAAAACAAACAAACAATATCATGACCACCAAAAAAGTAACAAAACGATTTTATACTTACAGTTGTTCACAAGTAATAAATTCAAAAGTTATTGCGTTTCACAAACTATTGGGTAAATTAAGACGATAGTAATTTACCGATGTTCAAATCGCGCAAATCAATGAGAAAAATTAAGGTAACAAACCAAACCTGAGTGAATAGGGTGAACTCTAAAAGGAGCGAGACCGAGTGCGTCGACAGGGTATCCGTCTCCTGCTGTGCATGCAGCACCCGTTATGCGAATTCACACTCAATCGAAATGTCATAATCTGGAATAGTAGACAATCGGTAAAATTACAAATCAGACGACTTTACTAGGTCTCGAAAGATATAAGAAAAAAATCAAAAAACAAAACACCACGTTGCTAGTAAAATCAAAAACATAAAATACAAAATATAAGGTATAGGATATTAGATCTACAACACAATGTTTAAATCGAACAATACAAAATCAATTTAAGACGGAGATAAGTTTAAGTATTCCGGAAAGCAGTCCCTGTACCACTAGTGTTCCTTGTTGTGTTGCTCATACCAGGATGTGTTATGAATAGCTGCATTGTACAAAACATCTATTCTAAGAGAGAAATGGACGCTGTGACTAGTGATGTGAATTAAGTAGACACAAACAAAAACTCAAAAAATCAGTAGAAGCAAAAACTCAATATACATATTAAAAAAACCTGATTCATATGTTGGTGTCAGACCACCAATTACACCCTCTAATTTAGAACGTATGTAAAAGTAGCCCTACTCTGACATAAAATAGTGCTTTTGATGTCCTTGTTAACCAACAAATTTGCAGAAATGAAACTTTTGATGAAAGAGAAATACATTTAGACCATTTTGAGAGAAAATTTACTTGTCTAAGAGTTTGCATTAAAAATTGAGGATTAATGCGCTCCATAGTATACTAATTAAAGATTTCCAGAAAACCAGGGGTGTCGGTCATAAAACTTTACTTCGTACTCGGAGTACAAAATTTGTGCTCGAAACACCAAATACAGTATTTTCATTGGTTGATTTCTGAGTCTGAGTACTATAATCGTGCTCGAAATTTTTATGACCGCAAGGCCAGGGGTTATTTTTGGAGTAACTCTTTTTGAAAGTCAGATTTTTTCTTAGAAGGCTTAAAAGGTATGTTGAAAATTGGCATGCAGAAAGCTGATACATGTACAATTCAGGGTATACCTGGTTTCTATGAAGTTAAACTTAAGGTAAAATATTTAGAAAGCTGTGAAAATTGCAAAATTTGGTTGAACAGATAGGGATATTTAATTGGTGGTCTGACACCTGTATGTCTAGACAAGCTCGATAAATAGGTTAAACATAACTTATATCGTTTTGCCGGTCTGGTCAAATGAAGTTTTATGAAGTAAATGTTCCATGTTTGTCCTATTCTTTCTGTTAAATAAAGAACGAAACGTAAGTCCGTTATCATAATGAAAATTCAGTATATGTAGTAATACAAGTTCTGTCTAAAGAATATTCTATAATAACTTAGTATTCTTATACATTGGGGGCCGGTTCGGCTGGAGCGGTAATCGCCAACAGATTATCAGAGGACGATAATGTTACAGTACTATTACTTGAAGCGGGAGGTTCTGAACTTGACCATAATTACATAAAAGTTCCATTGGCTACACCTCTTCTACAGGAGACAGATATTGACTGGTCGTATTATACCATTCCGCAAAAGGCATCATGTAAAGCAATGAAAGAACAGGTAAATAATAACAATCATCATCATCATCTTCCTTGTCCTCGTCCCTCTCCCCTCCTCCTACTCATCCTCCTCGGCCTCCTCCGCATTCATCGTCATCTCACTATCTAATTTTATATTTATCAATTTGTCTATATCAAATGTGTATAAGTTTAAGCTATACAGCAACCTATTTCATGCTTTTTGTCATTTACAACTACCGACTTAATTATTATATACCATTTTGTTTTATTTTCCAGAGAAGTTACTGGCCACGTGGCCGAGTATTAGGTGGAACTAGCAGTATAAATCACATGGTTTATATAAGAGGAAGTCGCCATGACTATGATCAATGGGAAAAAGAGGGTGTTGTTGGATGGGGTTATACAGATGTTCTTCCATACTTCCTGAAAATAGAAGATATGAAAATTGTTCAACTGTCTAATTCTAGTCAGTATCATTATACATTCGTTGAAAAATATTCTTTGATCTTCTTTGTTCATCAAAAGTGTTAATAAATCATTTCGAAAAAAGCGTCCAATTGCCCATTTGTGAGTATGACTGGTGTCAATACTACGTGTTTAACCTGTCAATCAATAGTATTTTCATTTGAGTAAGCTGAGTTTAACGCACTAAGCAGTACAGCCGTTTTTTTTAGTTTGTGTTCGACCTGCCAATCAATAGTACAATGTTTGTTCACGGTAGTAGGCGGAGCTTATAGTGTAATAATGGTCTGCATCTTCAAAACGTTTATAAAAAGAATACCTGAAGCACAATCAAAAGAAAAAAAAAACAAAAAGCCACTTTCTTCTGTACGTAATAACAATGTAGTACGGTTCCTTTTTTTAGAATTTATTTTTCTTCGGTTCGTCCTACAGTATACACAATGAATATTTTGAGGTTATTTTATACTGCTTATTTTTTTTAGAAATTAACAGTCAGTTTAATAATGAGAACAAAGTACGATTACTTGTTTTTATCTAAATGTCTTTTTGATGGAGTTAAGTCATTTCAACTGATATTTTATAGTGTGTCTTTTTATGTTGTAATGTTACACTACTGGCTCATGTTAGGGTGAAGTTTGGCGCCTGTTAAAACGTTTAAACCTGCTGCATTTTTATGCACCTGTCCTAAGTTGTTCAGTGGTTATCGTTTGTTGGTGTGGTTCGTAGGTGTTTCTCGTTTTTTTATTTAGATTAGACCGTTGGTTTTCCTGTTTGAATTGTTTTACACTAGTAATTTTGGTGCCCTTTATAGCTTGCTGTTCGGTGTTAGCCAATGCTCCGTGTTGAAGGCCGTACTTTGACCTATAATTGTTAACTTTTTATTTATTGTGACTTGGATGGAGAGTTGTATCATTGGCACTCATACCACATCTTCTTTTTTATAATGTTGTGTTTAGAATTGACAAAATAGCCACGTAGGTTAAAGACATGAAAAGCGCTAAACACACATTTTTTCTGTAATTTAGATTTTTTTTAGAACGCATTTAGTGTAACATCGAAATAAATAGTAAGTTTTAATTTTCATAGTATAGCATCACAAACTGAAAGCGAGGGTAATGAAAGGACTTTGAAGCTATGATCTAAATAAGATTCAATCCATAGAGATTTGTTCTAAAAAAAAGTCAGCATATTTAAAAATTTCAGCTTACCATTCTACTGGTGGATATCTACCAATAACCGAATCCAAAGTAACAACTCTGTCAAATTTTTACCAACGGGCAGCAGAGGAACTGGGTTACAAAGCTGTAGACCAAAACGGAGAGGACATGATTGGTAACATGTTTCTATATAAAATATTTTAATGTGAAGAAGTTCTGCATGCGTTTGCCTATCAATTTAAGATATTAAAATGCGCCCAATGCAAATTCCCGCAATTTCTTTTTCCGTCTCTGTCACGTTCTTGGTACAATTCTGGATAATTAAACTCAAACGGTACATTTATAGCGCAAATGCAAAGTTCTAACCGCCCATAAGTCAACATTTTACGATATAGTCGTGTAAAGATGTTCAGTTATACCGATTTATTTGCTATTAATTTTATACCTTAAGAGATAATTATATACTGTATGAATTTCATATGCAGAGTAATAATATATGTATTATCTAATTATGAAGGTTTTTCGTATGTTCAGTCAAACATTTTTGGAGGTGAACGGTTTAGCACTTCTACAGCATATATAAGACCGATTATAAACAGATTAAACCTACATATCAGTACCAACTCTTTCGTTACAAAGGTAAGCAAACTTTAAAGATAATACTATTAACTAGTTCATATATTGAATGTAATATATAAACCTGATTTTCTATCCTGTTAGAAATTGTAAAGAGTAAGGCTACATTATATTCTGGTACATTAAAGATGTAAGTAAATAACATACCCGATATGTATGTAAAGTGAAAGATATAGGAAGCCAATTTCAATACAGGTTCATATAGAATTTGGCGAGTTCAATTTTAATGCAATTGAAAATAAATACTTGATGAAATGGTTCATACAATTGTAGTGTTGTATTTCTGTTGAAACATACGCTTATCTCAAATTACCATCTGTTTTACACGCTTTTCAGTAGCAAATTTGTAATGTAAAAAAGATACAACAAAGTGTATTATTTACTGCATTTTATTAGCATATATAATGATTTTTTTAACCTCAATGGCTAGTTTTTACAAGAGTTGTCATTAAAAAATTTCATAATAGCATATTAGTAAAATTAGCAAAACTACATTTTAATAAATCAATTTTAGATATTGATAACCAATAAAACCGCACGTGGCATAGAAATGATAAAGAACGGACAAAAGAGGACATTGTTGGCACGTAAAGAAGTAATATTGTCAGCTGGTGCTGTAAACTCACCACAACTGCTAATGCTTTCTGGTATAGGACCTAGAGAACACCTGGTAGAACACAAGGTAATCTTACTACATATAAGACATTGAGAAAACCTGGAAGAAGACAAGGTAAAATACACATATAGGACCTAGAGAACACCTGGAGGAACACAAGGTAAAATTTACATATAGGACCTTGAAACACCTGAAAGAACACAAGGTAAAATACACATATAGGACTAGGACATGGAGGACACATAGAGGAATGCAAGGTAAAATGTACATATAGGACCTTGAGAACACATGGAGAAACAGAAGGTAAGATTTACATACAAGCCACGTATAGAACACTTGGAGGAAAACAAGGTAATATTAGCATACAGGTGACAAAGAGACCACATGGAAAAAAAAACAAGGTGACACTTACATACAGGTGGACTTTTATAGAACACCTGGAGGAACACAAGGTACAATATACATACAGGTGACTCAGAAAATACACGGAGAAACACAAGGTAGAACTAGCATAATGTGACCTATATAACGTCTGGAGGAACACAAGGTAAAATATACATACAGGTGACCTAAAGAACACTTGGAGTAGCACATGGTAAGATTTGCATACAGGTAACATATAGAACACATAGAGGAACATAAGGTAACATATGCATAGAGGTGACCCAGAGAACTACTGGAAGAAATCAAAGTACATTTATATACAGTCGACATAGAGAACACATGGATGAACATATTGGTGAAATATATATACAGGTGACCAATAGAACACCTAGAGGAACACAAGGTAACATTTACATACAGGTAACCCAGAAAACATCTGGAGGAACAAAAGGTAATATTTATGTACAGGTAACCCAGAGAACGTCTAAAGGAACACAATGTAAAAGTTACATACAGGTGACCTAAAGAAAACCTGGAGTAACACAAGGTAAATTTAACATACAGGTGACATAGAGAACACATGGATGAACACAATGATAAAATGTATATGCTGGTGTTACATTTACCTTGGTGGATTAGAAATTCTGGCACCGGTTTTTTCTTTTTTTATACATAGATATCAACTTGATACTGAAGTATAAAGTATTTTGAAATAGTGATGGAAATGAATCACAATATTTGGCTTAAAAATATATGATATATTCTTATAAGCCAGTACAAACACTAAGGTATTCTTTTTAAAATAGTGTACAAAAATAAAATTTTGAGTGTTTAAAATGCTTGTCATACGTCATCAAACTGAACATCATAAAATCATGTAAGTAAAATTGAAGATAAATTATATATAATAAATGAGAATTAATGAAGATAAATTATATATAATAAATAAGAACTAATGAAGATAAATCATATACTCGGTAACGAGTCAAATCCGGTAAGGGTCCTTAATTGTAATAGGGAATGTACAATGTAACACGGTCAAGTGAGACGCACTTACATTTTGTACTTAATACCAATTTACTAATATGTGATGGCAACCATATGCATGATATAGTGTTGCTGTCAGATAGAATGACACAGCAATTCATATGTCGGTGACGTTTGCATTTCAAGGATAAACTACCGACAACACAAGCTCTTGTCGAGTGAATTAACTATAATAAAAAGTTGATGCGAGTGAGAAAAAAATAAACACTATATTGGAATTTCATGCATCTTGTTTGTCTTGTTCTCGTAAGCTTAGATTTATTTTTTTGCAAATGACATTTTAATTTCAGGTATAAAGCACTTTGATTATCTTATCTCACGAAAATACATGTTGGAAAAAAATAAACAACTTGCAACTGCGAAATGTCATTTTTGATAAATTTTTAATAGTTAAATTCATAACTTGGTCCTAGATAGAAGTTCATGCAGATTTACCTGTTGGTGAGAACATGGAAGATCACCCAATGTTTTTCATGAAGTACAACACAAAGGAAGATCTGAGTGTTTCTGTAAAGTCTACACAGAGTTGGTGGAATATGTTACAGTATTATCTAACCAGGGGAGGTAATATTTATCAAGTTAATACTGATGCTGTTTCTTATTTTACGAATGAACAACAACGAAATAACTATAGCAAAACGAAATAATTATAGATTTTACCTTGAACCTTTGAATTATAAATGATATAAACATATATCTATGTCTTAGAATTCTACAGAAGTGAATGGTTCGATTGATTTTCATTGATTTTTATATTGTGATCGTCGTGTTAAAGTATAGAGCAATCGTAATTTTGGTTTGTTAAATAGATCAATTCAGCAAGAATGCAATTTCTGAAATACTGTTCTTTATACTATGTTTCACCAGATTAAGCTTGAATGAGATATCTACGTCACTGAGTTTTATTTAAACGGAAGTATATATTGGTCCAATGTCACAACATATTCTGAATAGTTTTTAAATAGGTTTATATAAAATTTTATGTCTAAAGATGGCCAATATATCTTTTGTAACTCAATACAAAATTTCCTTGCCAAATCTGAAAATCTGAAATTTGTAAATGTGAAATGGTAAGATGTTTCGCTGTCTTTAACGCGTAATTTTGCACCTTACAGGTGTTCTTCCATTGATATTCCTAAATTGGACTTTGAAATCGTTAATAAATAGTGCCATATGATATAAAATTCAAGTTTTTAATGTGTTTTGCTTTCATAGATGAATGTAATCTAACAAAAATGAATATCTAGAAAATGTCATATTTAAAAGTTTAAATCAGGTGTGTTCGTACAGAAAAGTTGTGCTCAAGTTGGAACCGTGGCCAAAAAAGAGAACGAAGAAAGGTCAAATTCAAGTAGTCAAAACACTACACAGAAAATTAACGATAGAACAACCTGAACCCAACCAAAACATCGGGATAAACTAAGGTGCTCTGGAAGGTTAAACTGTTCCGGCTCTACTAGTGGCACCTGTAGCGTTACTCGTCACAACCAAGACATCGGGATGAACTTAGGTGCTCCGGAAGGTTAAACTGTTCCGGCTCTACTAGTGGTACCTGTATCGTTACTCGTCACAACCAAAACATCGGGATAAACTAAGGTGCTCCGGAAGGTTAAATTGTTCCGGCTCCACTGGTTGCATCCGGAGTGTTACTCATCACAACCAAAACAATCTGGATGAACTTATGGGCTCCGGAAGGTTATGCTGTTCCAGCTTTTCTAGTGGCACATGTAGCGTTACTCATCTGAACCAAAACAATCGGGATGAACTTAGGTGCTCCGGAAGGTTAAACTGTTCCGGCTCCACTGTTGGTGTCCGTAGCGTTACTCATCACAACCAAAACAATCGGGATGAACTTAGGTGCTCCGGAAGGTTAAACTGTTCCGGCTCTTCTAGTGGCACCTGTAGCGTTACTCATCACAACCAAAACAATCGGAATGAACTTAGGTGCTGCGGAAGGTTAAACTGTTCCGGCTCCACTGGTGACATCCGTAGCGTTACTAATCACAACCAAAACATCGGGATGAACTTAGGTGCTCCTGAAAGTTAAACTGTTCCGGCTCTTCTAGTGGCACATGTAGCGTTACTCATCACAACCAAAACAATTGGGATAAACCTATGTGCTCCGGAAGGTTAAACTGTTCCAGTTCCACTGGTTGCATCTGAGGCGTTACTCATCATAACCAAAACAATCGGGATGAACTAAGGTGCTCCGGAAGGTTATACTGTTCCGACTCTTCTAGTGGCACATGTAGCGTTACTCATCACGACCGAAACAATCGGGATGAACTTAGGTGCTCCGGAAGGTTAAACTGTTCCGGCTCCACTGGTTGCATCCGTAGCGTTACTCATCACAACCAAAACAATTGGGATAAACCTATGTGCTCCGAAAGGTTAAACTGTTCCAGTTCCACTGGTTGCATCTGAGGCGTTACTCATCATAACCAAAACAATCGGGATGAACTAAGGTGCTCCGGAGGGTAATACTGTTCCGGCTCTTCTAGTGGCACCTGTAGCGTTACTCATCACAAGTAAAAAATTCAGTAATTAGTTGTATTCTGTTATATCATATTTGTGGCTACGATTTCCGTATGAATAATGTTTGAAGTAGCGGAATTGCCTCTGTAAAATAACGATTTTAGCAAGAATATTAACTTGACTTTCCTGTTGTAGGGATATTTTCTTTTTCTGGCATGGAAGCAATGATATTTGATAAAAGCAGAGTCAAAGACACGCATACATTATATCCCGACTACCAACTTATGTTCTTCAGCATTGCATTAGACAAAGCCTCTCTAGAAAATGGTTTGCCACTTAATTATAACAATTCTGTGAGTGTTATTTGTCTAATGAATATAAAGCTTGCTAGGCGGTTTCGGTTTTTGATCATTGTTGAAGGCCGTATGGTGACCTATAATACAATGTAGCTAACTTCTACGTTATTTGATCTCTAGCGGAGACTTTTCTCATTGGATATCATATCACATCACTTATTCTTATAATGAAGCCCCAAGCATATAAAAAAGTAAAAAAAAAGATGGAATCAATTAGATATATACTAACTAAAACTGATTTAAAGAGCAGTATTAACCATGACTTACAAATAAGAAAACATAAAACAAAAAGTTCTAAAAGGTGCAAAATACCTCAGATTGAGTCAAACAAAAGAAACAAATGGCTCGAACACCACCGAATCACCGATAAAACATTCCAGCATTCTAACAATAAAATCAGAACATTTTTGTATACCCATTCAAAAAGAGGGCGGTAAACGGCTTTCCGTCTGTCCATCCTTCCGTCAGTTTGTCAGTCCGTTTGAGTGTTCATCTGTCTGTCCGTCAATTGGAATTTTAGTCACAATTTGTTTCAATTTTGTTTCAATAAATCGTTGTCAAATCCTATCTCAGCACCCCAACTTCAGATATCACAAGGTGTTTTGAACATCTATTTAGACCAATTAGAATAAACTAATTGACCATGGCAATGTCCATCGTCAGGAGCCCAAACCATTGCAATCCCATTTAATCTTAAAAATACCGTAATTTTTATAAGGGTCTCGACACCTCGTGATCTTTTTGACTTAATACTTTTCTATACTATTTCTTTTCTATCCATGTTTATCAATTTAACAAACAAAGTATAAAACATAGTTCATAATTTGCAACATTGTTAATTTACTAAGAGTTGCAGATGTTACTGTGTCTTTCAAGTTTTTATGCCTACGGAAAGCGATAAGAGGTCTTTTATCAAATAAAGGTTTTGCCTCTTCGTCAACTTTTAATTTATCCTAATGTTTTAAAATATTGTTCTTTAAGTGTGTTTTTTGTCTTGAAAACACTGTGGAGAATACCAAAGGGGGCGACTGTAATACAGGATCTAGAAATCAGAGGTTCCTGATATTTCTTATCGAGCTTTATGTGAGCATGCTATACCTTATGATGCATTTTTACACCCATCCAGCATCACCTAACTATTTACCGAATACTTATATATTCTTAAACATACTGGCCATGTATTAAATTGTTGTGGCATTTTGTCTCAGGAACTTCCAATCAGAGCTTCGTGACATTTGGTATCAAGCTTCATGTGAGCATGTTATACCTTGTGATTTTTGTTCACATCAATCGCTCATCATCTTTTTTTGTACCGAATAATAATAGCGGGAATATCATTCAAGAGGTATTCATCGGCTTGTTTGAATCAAAGTAGCACCATTATTTAATTATTGTTGATTTACTTAAGAAAATATTGTTCCATTGTTTTACACATCCTTTTATTGTTATCGTAGGTAGTAAAGCTAGCACAGACGAGGGCATTCAGCAATGAGTTTACTATCACTCAAATTTTATTGCATCCAAATAGTACTGGCAGCATTAAATTGAAAAGTAAAGACCCGTTTGTTCATCCAGTAATCGATCCGAACTACCTGAGTAATCACCATGATATAGATATTTTTATTGAAGGTGAGAAGACCTGGTTCAGAGTCATGTCATACTCATTCAAAATTTTAAAGCGAAACGGGTAGTTTAAGTATCTAGTAACTTAATCGTTCCTAATTTACGCCACGGATATATCATATCAAATTAATGGACAATGATAACGCCCCTGCATTTAGTAGGTACTTGCTGGATGCACAGTAGGGAAAGTGGCCGGCTGAGTTTGGAATTTTTCGAGTGTGATCAGATTTCCCCCCGTTACTTATGATGTAAAGCTTAAGGTTAACCAACAGACCATTTTCCGGTGAGGCTTACAATAAATCTATAGGAAAAGTTAGTTCTTGTGACAAGAAGTTATTATCACAATACATTAGTTTGAGTTATAATAGTTAAATATACCCTTAAAAAACTTTCATTCGAAAAGGGTTAAATTTATCGACGTTCTTTTTGTTTTAGGTATTTTTATGAATTTCCGTTTTTGTACATATCCTTTACTAAATTACATTTAAAAAATGAGGTCCCTTTTTAAGGCTTAAAATGTCATCTTCTTTGTTCGTATTTCTTTGCAAAACCAGGACCAATTTAAAGAAATAACACGGACGTTTAACAGTAGTTCTAAAATGTTCGTATTTCTTTGCAAAACCAGGACCAATTTAAAGAAATAACACGGACGTATAACAGTAGTTCTAAAATAAACTTGACAAAGGAAAAGTGTGAATTTAAAGTGAGGTAGGAGTAGATTATGCGTCGCTTGTTCTCAAAACCAGTACATAATTATAATAACAAGCTTAAGTTGCTTTCTTCTAATAGAAATACAAAACATGAACATCATTGGTTTGTATGGTTTTTAAGATCAGAGAAAAACAAATTTTTTTAACCCGATTCTTTATATGAGCATTAAGAAATCTGACTTTGGTTTTTAATGTACTTGCTATTAATAATCAAGACAGCATATATTCAGTTTGTTCTTTATCTTTGCTTTTTTTTTAATTTCTTTTCTATTTTGATAACGATTAAGATATTTCTATTTTTGTCAATATTATGAATATTGGCTGCATTATATGTCTGCAGGCATTTCAATGAAAAGTAGCAAATTAAAAAAAAAACCTTATGGTTTATTGCAAATAGCTTTGACCATGGAAATAATACATTGACAAAAATATTACGTCCCTATTGTGATCATTCGTAGATTTTTAAAAATGTGTCTAAAAATGAATGTATTGCCAAATCGTCATTTGTCGTCTAGAAATTGTTCTCCACGATCATGATCAGCAACTTGAGTGCATTAATATTCGCCATTGATCAAACTTTTATTTATGAAAATGTAATTTACTCGGCTGTAATTTTCCGGAGCACCTGAGATAACCCCCAGTTGTTGTTGGAGTTCGTGTTGCTCAGTCTTTAGTTTTCTATGTTGTGTTTTGTGTACTATTGTTTGTCTGTTGGTCTTTTACTTTTTTAGCTATGGCGTTGTCAGTTTATTTTCGACTTATGAGTTTGAATGTCCCTCTGATATCTTTTGCCTCTCTTTTAATTTAGTATTCATAAATAGATTATTTTCATTTTACTGTTACTATCACTAAGAAAATAATTCCCGAGACCATATACACAATTAAGGGTGATTTATATAAGTTAACTTAAATAAATTGGTTTTATACACACAAAACTATTTTCCACCTTAAGGTGCCTCATGCATGAAGGGTGAAGTCATATAGCAGGTGACCTGTGCCATTAATAAGTTGCAATGGAGCTGTTATGTCGATTGAATTAGAATAACCACCACCGTCCACATCACCACCATTGTTTTCATTATATTCAGAAATGTATAATGTACTATTTAAGTGCTGTCTCGGTATATAATATCTTTTAGGTCAGCATATTTTCATTATTATTAACTCAATTTCCCAAAGTTTGATGCAGAGTTATTGATGTATAAGTTGCTTGTCACAGTTAATGGGACTTATATCAGTAGTCTTGGTTAACATTTAAATAGACCAGACACATGCTAGAAGTTTCCGGACACTAACTACTAACAGATCCCTTTTCTAAGTCAGTCCTGACGTCAGTCCATTCATGGACTTGTATCACTGACGTTCTTGATCTACATGCTTGTAGTCATAAACAAGAACAGGCCCAGCAGTCAGTTCAAGCACGAACTTAAAGTTAGTGTCCTATCCTTATTCAGAAAGTTCAAGTTCAAGATCTTCCAATTGATATAATTCCCAGGCTTGGGAATTAATCAGTCACGACTATTCAATAACTGTGACAACAACCGAGACGGCTAAACGCCAAATGATGTTTATTTTATTGTTTGTATATCATTTAGTATGTATCTTAGTTTTAATCATATCTTAATAAATATATATTCTATGTTTTATTGTGTATAAATAAACATTAACAATGCCAAACATAATTTTTTAGTTTATCAAACTTCAAAGACTTCAAAGTATTTTTAAAATCTCTGTTATAGAATTTTTACCAGTTGCTTACAATTGAAAAACGTTATTTTGTTTCTAGAATTCTAATAGAATGATAAGTTATGATTAGCCGAAAAATAAACGTGAAAACGAAACAGATCGCGAATAAAAACGATTTGCAATAAAATATGTATAAAGAATGTATAGACAGATCCTCCCACTACACCCGTTGATTACAACATTAATTTTTTTCGAGAAAGTCAAATTTTATATTGTGGGGTTTAACGGGCATTTCGAATTAGAAGCTTTATCTACCGAGAGTGGACAAATAAGGGATAAAGTGGTAGACATTGTTTCTCTGGTTAGAATAAAATTTCAAGTGCAATCTTCCGAATAGATATCACTGGAAAATATAAGCGACATATCTAATCAACGAGTGGTCCATCAAAATTATTCATACTTTGATCAGAACGGTTTAAATGCGCACAGAATAAGAAAAATATTGATATAATTACATATGAATTCTTATTTGTTTTCTAGCAATACGAAAAACACAAGAACTTGCAAAGTCAAAGGCGTTAAGGGAATTAGATGCAACCTTGAATAGAGTAGATTTTCCAGGCATTTGTGATGAAGAAGAGTTTGACAGCGACACCTATTGGGAATGCCTTATCCGTCATTATGCCGTGACGGTATATCATCCGTCATGTACATGTCGTATGGGCGACAAAGATGATCCAACCGCCGTTGTGGATTCAAAACTAAGGTATGCATAGGGAATTACACGAATAACTTAAAAAACACCCCAATATATATATATATTTCGTCTCAAATTTAGCCCAACAATGTTAGATCTGTAAATTTGCGTTAGTACATTTCTGTTCTTCCCTCAGCGGGATTCGAACCCTTGCTTCTGTGACATGGTGGCAACACCGCCTGCACCATGTCCAGCGCCCTAGACCACTCGACCACTTAGGCTACATAAAAATAGAGCTTTCGGTGGTCGATGTAATGCCTTTCCTCGTCGGCTTTATCTAGGGTTGTAACACAGTACATGATGTGTAGTGGCAAATAGATGGCAGAACTTTCAGATCAGCTATTTTGTCTGTCGTAAAGGATGATAATGTTAATTACCATACCGCCACATCAAATTATATATGAATACCAAAAGATTTACATTAGGAGACAGGTAATTTCAAACGAAATTGTAATTGTTTGATAAATAATTGATTTTACTTGACTATGTAAAGGTTGATAAAAATCATAAAATCACTCATTTACAAGTGACCTTAAAGAAAATTCCTTTTACTAATATTAGAGAACAAGTTTTTGCGAAGACTTCCCATTTTTTTATTTATCAAATTATTGCGATGCATTCATACATTAAACATATGGACATATGTGTCACTCAGACAGCAAAAGGGTTGACTGAGTCTCATATAAACAGCAATTAGTGTCCTTTTCCAGATATAAATATTTTAGATTCACATGGGGACTTCTATAGAAAAATTTACGACAAAAGGGACAATTCTACGTTCCCCTTTTTCTTTTTTAGGACGATGATGTTCCTCTTGTCCCATCTTACGGTGTTTATATATCCCAACTCGTTCGTCATGCCTGTATCTGTAATGACGTCATAGATTTTATTGACGTAGATTTCAGCAACTATTTTTCACCGTACGGCCTTCAAAAATGAGCAAAACCCATACATCATAGCAAGCTATAAAAGGCTTTGACGTGACAAAAACAACGGTCTGATTTTTGCACAAAACAATAAATTAAGATTTGTTTAGTTTGTACTTATGTTGTGCCGTTAATCCACTGTCTCAGGTTTAATGACTCGCTTACCATATAAAAATATGGAAATGTGGTATGATTGCCAATGAGACAACTATCCACCAAAGTTCGAATGAAGTGGATGTAAGCAATTATAGGCAATCGTACGGCCTTGAATAATGAGAAAAACGCATACCTTATAGTCGGCTATAAAAGGCCCCGACATGAAAAATGAAAGAATTCAATTGAGAAAACCAACGGCCTAATTTATAACAAAACAATTTACGAAAAACTAGTTGATTTGTTTGGTTTTGGTTCAATCTTTTGTTTGTTTAAAATTTGTTTTTATTATTTTGTATTTTGTTGTATTTTTTCAATATTTTTTCTGTTTTTCTTTAATGCAACTTTAGGGTGAAAGGAATTGCAAACTTAAGAGTTGCTGACGCGTCAGTGATGCGGCACGTGACATCTGGAAATACGAATTCTCCTTCAATTATGATCGGTGAAAAGGCTGCTGACCTTATACGTGGGAAAGATACAGTCATAACATTCAGGAAACAAATAAAACATTTGAAACCCTAGAAGAATAATAATATAAAATGACATCAATCACCCAGCAAATTTGATAGGTATCTGATTGTATGGAATTAACGATACCGCTCAAACAGGAAAAACGTAAACACCAAATTGTCTATCTCAAGTGTTTTTATTTATTTTGTTCTTAGACGTTTCATTGTATAAAGATTAAGAATAATTGTCGCCGGATAATCGATTTTAACATCATAGTAAACTGACTTTGTAATTGTTACGATAAGTTTATCTGTATTAACATGTCATTATTTTGTCAAGTTTCATTTGACTCGGCGGCTGCATACTAAGCTGGAATAAGAAAAATGTCAAACGACGTTTTTCGTTGACTCAACGACTGAAAGTGTATTTTATAAGTAGATATAGCAGAAAATATCTAAAAATGGTAAGATAATAATAACATCTACCAATAGTACAAATATTTGCCTCATTGTTCGTGAGTTCAAATATTGTAGATTCTATAAAATCTTCTCTTTACAGTCGTTTTTCAAGCGGTAGTCATTTTGTCCAAGTTGATATTTCATTTGTCAAAGCAATTAATGCGGGTTTTTTACCTGATATTTCAATAAGTTATTCATAATTTATAAAAACAAAAGTTAGATACACGAAGAGTACACAATGCCTAGATTTTTTTTTATTAACTACATGCTTGGGTCTGAAAGGAATAAAATGCTACGAAACATTACAAAACGGTAGTCATTTTGTCCAAACGGGCGAAAACGTCGAAATATCCGAAAAACGCTTATTTCCGACGTTGCATGTGCTAAATTTGTGTCAATTAAATGTTCCTGATAATAAAAACAAATCGTGTGGAGAAATTTGGAAAAAGATATTGAAGGCTGTCGAAAAAAGAATAGTGCATATTGACAAACTCGGAACATAGATTCGACACAGATTAAATTTTGATAATTTATAACCATTTTTAGCTTTTAGTGATTTATTGTTGCTAGAGGCAAATGTTTGATTCAGAATGCGAATGATATGTAGAACTTTTACAAAGACAATTTGGAGACACCAAGACAGTCCTTTATATGTTAAAGGTGAATTTTTCGTTATGTTGCGGAAGTACCCTGAAATAGATATAGATCATTTAAAGTCGCCCTTCAGTAAGGTACATTCACCAAATTAAAAGTACAAGTACTCGAAAAGTTTTAGTTCGCGACATCGACGAAAACAGTTTCATTGAAATAATACAACCCGGGATTATATAAGCCGTTTTTACGGACAATCCAGGAGAAGATTTCTAAAATTTAAAAAGTACATCAGACGTTAGAAAACTTAAGCAAGAAACTATAGATGACTGGGGTTCAAATAATTGAAGTGCTGTATTTCGACAAATTGTGTGTCAAGGAAAGTACAATTTATTTCAAATTAATCAAGGGTAAAAAAAAATGATTTACTTGCAGAGTGTCGGATATATTTGTATTGGGGTTGAATCAAGATATGGAAAATTTACAATGACATATGATATGCACCATAAAATTTTAGCAGCCTGTGATTAAAGTTTTGTGCTTCTAAAATTATGTTTTAATTTATTTATGGAAAACTGTATATATAATAATTCCGTCCCATTTTTTCCTTCCTACATTATTTACGACAATACAGCATTTTAAGGGGAATTAAGGGTAAACATTGTTAATCGATTTCTACAACTTGAGGTAATTCATGGTAAAAATACATCACAAAAATAACAGGAACAGAATCAACCCATAACATATAAAAAAAAAACGAATGAAACTAACAAACTTAATTAATCGACGTCAAAATTCAGAAAACACTCTTTGACGTCCCATTTTTGGTGTAACGTCGTGTTGTAGGAACATCGTGCACAACGTGCTAACAAAAATGATATTCAAAGTTTTTGTGAAGATGACCGAATTTTCATCGTAAAAGCCGAAGTTTGTTGGGACCATCGATTTACGGAGTTTAGCAGTCAGGTGACTGCTTTATTGCTAACATATTACAAGTACATGTATTACAATAACCGTACCATAAATCAAAACAATGTAATTCTTGTATTTTATTTGAATCGTGTAATAGAATCTTTCCTCACTGTTCACTGCTCTTTTTTCTTTCTATAACTGAAACAATAAAATAAATCAAATACATATTCTATCTAAAATATGTAATGGTCTCGATAATTTGTCATTTTCATATGTCTGAAAGCTCGATCTGAGAAAGTGGGATTTTCAAATCTATTAATTGACCTTTTTAGACAGATATGATTAATGCTATTTAAAACTGATTGAATACTGTCAAACCAATTCATATTTGTATAAAACAAAGTGTGAGCCTTTAATATCAAAAAGACACAGGAAAGATACATTGAAAATTGAAAACATTAAGTAAATACCTACCGCTGACAAACAAATTTGTAGTTTTCCTTACAGGAAATATCATGCCAAAAATATCCATTATAGGAAATCCAAACCAAGCAATTCTCCGCCGCTGCTCCACTTGGTTGATGAGAATTTATATACCAGTGGTTATATGATATTGGCACTAAATTTTCTATCCAAACCCACCTTCCTTCAGCAAACATGTCTGTCCCTCCCAACCAAACTCTGTTAGGATATACTGCGCATTAAGTAAATTAAAAAAAAAAAAGTAGAAAAATATGTTTGAAAGTTGGAAATGTGATAAAGGAACACATGAAATATAATGAACTTTTCAAATATAATTGTAAATTTTGAACTCTTTGAGAGTCGGAATTAACAGATGATCCGATATAAGGAAGATAACATTAACAAACCGGAGTGAACAAACAAAACATGATTATAAACCTGCATTCGCTTTTCAGAGAAAAAGTCATAGTTTTTAAGAATGTTTATTTCACAGATTTAAGCACCTGTTTCTGAATCTAAATTTTGATTAAGGTTAACTCAGTATATAAAATCCACTTTTTCTGATGGAAAACGGGGTCATCAGCCTTATACCATTCACAGGACCTCATCATAGACGCCTCTAGGAAGTCTTGTGTAGTTGTAGAAGGCTTCCTCATCTTCTATCTTCGGCTCCTTTAGTAGATTGCTATAGTGGCCATAACCATGAAAGTGTTCTCTCCTTTTGTCAGACAGCCATTTTCTGACCCATATAGACCTCGGTTTCCTTCTTCGCCTCAGTTTGTCCCTGCACTGGAATATAAAAAGCAAATCAAGATAAGGACATTGTCGAATATTAGAAAGGTCAATAGCAAGATATGATAAAGATGTGCTGCTTCTTTTTTCATGATTTTCTCTTCATCAAAGTATGCCATTCTTCACGAACTGAATTATTAATAATTGATTGAAGCTTTTAGAGTACACACGCCTCTGTTCTGTAGAGTTGCTCAGGACTGTCCGTGGAAGATGCTCTGAGGCTTGCCTTTTATATATCGACGTTACCATGACACATGTGAAACGCTTGAGCTACTCACATTTGCATGTCTTTGTCGACACCGTGGTCTCATCTCAATGTCATCGTACTATGAAACGATGGCTACACGACGGCATTGCGAGGGCTCCACGTAGTCGTGTGGCCTTCGTAAGACAATAGGGTAGCTTCTTGTTTCCTCCATATTGTCTTCGTGAGTCGAAAATTCTCGATAGCACCGATGATCACACGGAGTAAAGACGAAGATGGCACGATGTGACGAGATGCCCTTACGACGGCCTTACGAAGGGCAAAATGGACATACGAATTCAACACAAAAATAAAACTTAGCAAGGTCTTTCGGAAGGTTTTTGGCATGTCAAAGATTTTGCCACCGTTTACGAAATTGCCGTCGGAGTGTGAAAACTCAAAAGGCGGTCATACGATGGCTTAAGATGCCAATCAGGAATGGCCCGATGTTTTTACGATCGCACCCGAATTTGAACATTTCTTTAAAGTGTGTTAACCTGTATCAATTTCGGGACAGTGTGACGCCAGCAAAGACTGAGCAACTAATGGTGCTCCGGAAGGGTAAGCAGATCCTTCTCTACATGTGACACCCATCGTGTAATCCCATGAAATACGTTGACAAGTTATATCAAGTGATTTGACATCACGCAGTAGCAGATTGGTAATTGACCCTTATATTACCCCAAGACATCACCAAATGCTAGATCATCGGTCATGCAAAATTGTCTGACCCTAAAACTTGACTGAATGTGAAATTTTGAAATTGAAACAAGTTTTGCTTGACAAAGGTTACAGGAGACTGTTACTGCTATAAACAACACAAACATTGAAAAATTAAAAACATAAAGAACAACACTTATAAATAAAGCAAAAGCAACAGGAACCCCTTTAAAACAAAAACAGGTGTTCCGGAAGGGTAAGCAGATCCTGCTCCACATGTGGAACTTGAGTAATGTTTTGATTTTATTTTGCCAAGTATATTGCCAATATTGTTATCAATTAAGACAATATAGTATGATATGGTACCTGAGCTTCCATCCATGTCATTTGTGGACTAGAATAAAGTCTTTATTTCGATACTTCACCCACATGTGGTCATTATGGCCGTCTGTAATGGAATATCATTATGAAAATAGTATTTTATTGATGGGTTAGATCTAAATTAGATCGTTAGACGTTTGAAACTAAGAAAGTAACATGTGTTAATAACTCAATAAGACAAATATTTCATCAAATTAAAAAAAAATCTTTGTGGATAACTAACTTATTGAATATCAGCATGTTAAGACGTAAACAGGAAAAGAGGAGAAGAAATACAGTAACAAATTTTCAATATAATTTCCCGTATGCTGTATCTAAATTCAACAATTTAAAAAAATCTCTTAAAAATAAGTTTCCTCGTGCGAAGTATCATAATTCAAATTTCATAGAACCATTATAATGCGGGTATACCTGATATGCAATGTATACATGTATTGTTGCTAAAGGCTGATAAACTTAATTGATAATATTAAATTTACCACAAAATAGAACAAACCATTTTTTGAATGTTATAATGCATTTAAAATTATGAAGAATTTCAAGTTAATTTTACCTATGGCAGAAATATCCAGTAGCCAAATAGCTATTATCCAGTAGTAAACAACCATTGTAGTAACACGGACCAGGTTCGAAAATCAAAACAATCCATAGCACTGCAACATATACATATGTTGTAGTGTTATCGATATCTTAAAACATTAAAATGAAACATGATAATATCATCCAGTATATTATTAAATAAATATTTATTAAGGCTGACGTAGTAGTTTAATATTATATATGAATCCTTTTGTTTTAAACGAAGAAACTAGTTCTAAAAGAGTATTCAGATAAATGTATTCCAGACTTTATTTTATTCTCTTAATTAGCAACATAACATTCAGAAACGTCTGCTGTTTTTTGAAAAAAAAATGCCTAAAAAAATCTAAAAACCACCATGTGTTGCATTGCCAGACTTCTTCTTCATGAATCATTAACAATACACTCATGTAAAGAAAAAAATAATGCTTCATCAGAAAGTTTGAAATGGTCAATGAAATATCAGAAAATAAGAATAAGTTAACGTTAAAAACATAGAAAAAAATTCATATTATCTTACAGACAATTCCATATTTCAACAGTGAATATATCATATTTATCCTATGTTAAAAGCAAGCATTCAATAGCTTGTATCTTTTGATATTAGTAGTGTTATCATTGTATTTCTTACATTTAACTTTTTTGTGTGCAAAACCATGTTTTGAAACTTTAATTTAAATTTACTGAAAATGACAATGACAATACATCAAATTCGATATTTCAATATAGTTATCAATTCGATATAGTTCTCAAGTTATGACATTAAAATAGAAAAAAAAGGATGACACTTAATTTTCTCGTTGCTTGATTGAAAGAACCAGTAATTGGATACAACATACAGCTATTATATTTGAACATGTCCATACGTCACCTTGCTCAACTCATCACATTTACTAATGCTGTCTTGTATAGGACTACAGGAACACTTGCAAAACTAAAGGTTAATAGGAAATTAAAATCTCTTTGCTCATTCTGACATATCATTTTTGCCAATTTATGTTGCCATACATGAACGTTTTTTGAATAACATGTGTAGTTTAATCAAACGTTCACAGTTAATAATTTTAGTGATGCCTAAACTCATTAAAGATTCAAGTTAATGATTAAGACTGACTTTCGTCAACATATGAATCATCAGCAGTAACGTGCGAATCAAACCAGTAAAAAGGCTAATTCAATTACAAAGTTGAAGATCACTGAATACCAAAATATTCTTAGTACTTCAATACTGGCTTGAAAATATGGATACTAATATTGTTTGAATTTAAATATTTTGTCATAAAACTTCGAAATCAGTTTAAATTAAGGAATGTATCTCCCACATACATTGCTCTGATTCCTTTTTTCGATCATCGCGGAAGAGGCATTAATAGCGGAAATGCGAACTTAGTGCAGTAACATTGGTACTGTTAATGGACTACTACCACTAGGTCGATATCTATGTTAATGTACTACTACCACTAGGTCGATATCTCTGTTAATGTACTACTACCACTAGGTCGATATCTCTGTTAATGTACTACTACCACTAGGTCGATATCTATGTTAATGTACTACTACCACTAGGTCGATATCTATGTTAATGTACTACTACCACTAGGTCGATATCTCTGTTAATGTACTACTACCACTAGGTCGATATCTATGTTAATGTACTACTACCACTAGGTCGATATCTCTGTTAATGTACTACTACCACTAGGTCGATATCTCTGTTAATGTACTACTACCACTAGGTCGATATCTCTGTTAATGTACTACTACCACTAGGTCGATGTCTCTGTTAATGTACTACTACCACTAGGTCGATATCTCTGTTAATGTACTACTACCACTAGGTCGATATCTCTGTTAATGTACTACTACCACTAGGTCGATATCTCTGTTAATGGACTACTACCACTAGGTCGATATCTCTGTTAATGGACTACTACCACTAGGTCGATGTCTATGTTAATGTACTACTACCACTAGGTCGATGTCTCTGTTAATGTACTACTACCACTAGGTCGATATCTCTGTTAATGTACTACTACCACTAGGTCGATGTCTCTGTTAATGTACTACTACCACTAGGTCGATGTCTCTGTTAATGTAATACTACCACTAGGTCGATATCTATGTTAATGTACTACTACCACTAGGTCGATGTCTCTGTTAATGTACTACTACCACTAGGTCGATATCTATGTTAATGTACTACTACCACTAGGTCGATATCTCTGTTAATGTACTACTACCACTAGGTCGATATCTCTGTTAATGTACTACTACCACTAGGTCGATGTCTCTGTTAATGTACTACTACCACTAGGTCGATATCTATGTTAATGTACTACTACCACTAGGTCGATGTCTCTGTTAATGTACTACTACCACTAGGTCGATATCTATGTTAATGTACTACTACCACTAGGTCGATATCTATGTTAATGTACTACTACCACTAGGTCGATGTCTCTGTTAATGTACTACTACCACTAGGTCGATATCTATGTTAATGTACTACTACCACTAGGTCGATATCTCTGTTAATGTACTACTACCACTAGGTAGATATCTCTGTTAATGTACTA